GGAGTTGGGAGACCAAGGCTCCAAGCCTCCCTGTCTGCACTGTGAATTTGGGCTCTACGATTCTCACTTTCCTCAGCCATACAAGGAGGTGGAGGGTTGGATGGGGCCAAAGGGCCCTGTCAACTCTAAGCTTTGAAAGACTAGGGGAAATACAGCCTGAGCTTGAAGGATGGGTGGGTTTGGGGCAGATCAGGGAAGAGAGGCAGCCTCACCAAGAGAATGGCCTACGTGGAGCGGTGATTAGGGGAGTGATAGAGAGCTGGGGTATGGAATTAAGCTACTCGTGTGGATTCCTGGCTTCACCACTGTGGGACTTTGAGCAAGTTATTTAGTTTTCTGAACCTTTGTTTCCTCATCTTTGGAATGGGAATGGTAATGGGACCCACTTACGGTAGACAAAATAATAGCCCCCTGCCAAGATGTCCATGTCCTAATCCCTGAAACTGTAAATATGCTACTTCACATAGCAACGGGGACTGACTTTGCAGATGAAGTTAAGGCTTTTGAGGTGGGAAGATTACCCTAGGTTATCCAGGAGGGCCCAGTATAATCATAAGAGTCTCTATAAGAGGGAGGCAAGAGGGTCAAAGTCAGAAGAAGGAGCTGTAATAATGGGAGCAGAGGCTGGAGTGATGTGCTTGGTCGGGAGGAGGATGGGCCACAAGCCAAGGAATGCAGTGGCCTCTAGAAGCTGAAAAAGGCAAGGACACAGATTCTTCCCTCAAGCCTCCAGAAGGAACACAGCCCTGCTGTCTCTTTAAATTTAGGACTTCTGACCTCCAGAAATGTAAAGTAATAAATGTGTGTTTTAAGTCACCAAGTTCGTGGTAATTTATTATAGCAATAATGAGGAATTAATATCCTACCTAAGTGTGTACCTTAAGTGAAGATTAAATGAGATAATGGACATAGTGTTTTGTCCAGTGTCTGCTCAGAAATATTGGATATTATTATCTCTCTTCCCAGTTTACTCATAATCGTTCCAGCAGGACCTGGTCCCCACAGGCCCTCAAGTTCCTACATGCAAAATTCATCAAGTGTTTTACCTGCAAGGCCTACTCATGATTTATAGCCTGAAGATTTGAACCACTGAGATGCTGACACTGTTTCCAATGTGAGGCCTTAGGGGATACATCTTGGCACTGCTTTTATTTATTTAACTTTCTGCTTGGTTACTTTCCTTCTTGCTAGAAGCCAAATCAACAGACTCTCCTCAATCTATTTCCAGAGTTCAGACCTCTTGCTTCCTGTCCAGGTATTTCTGCCCACCTGGCCCCAGTCCAGCTCCCAGAGATGGTCCATCAGGTGGTTCAGGTGACAGGGACTCTGAACTTTTGAGCAGAAAGACAAGCAGGTTCTTGGTGGGGCTGAGACCCTGCCTTTGAGCCAGAGCTCAGGAGACCTGGTTTTGAGTCCCAGCTCCATGGGGTGATAAGGGCCTCAGTTTTCCCATGTCTGCAATATCGGTGCTAAGCTCTACTCAGACTCCCTCACAGGACGGCTCTGTCATTCGCTGAGAAAGCAGACAACGAAGTACTTTGGAATGGCCAAAAGAGTGTAAAAATAATAGGAATGAAGCAGGGAAAGAGGAAGGAGAAAAGGAAGAGGAAGGCCAGGAGGAGTAGGGAAATCTCTGATCAGTGATTCTAGCCACACTTCCATTCACTTGAAGAATCCAAGCTCTCCCCACTCAGGGTCTTGGCACTTATTCTCTGCTTGCCTGGAATACTCCTCCCCCAGCCCTTCTCACTGACTCATCATTCAATTTTTTTTTCCTCAAAATCGATCTCCTCCAAAAGGACCACCCTGACTACCCTACCTAAATAGTCCCCCTATTACTTTCTCATGTCATTCTGTTTAGTTCATTCATTGCATTGATCATGACCAGAAACTCGTTTATCACCTGCATCCAGCTATTAGAATGTAAAGGGCAGGAAGACTGTCTTGGTTCTGTTGATTGCTGTAGCCTCAGTGCAATGGAGTCAACCAATGAATGACGGAGGCAGCTGATGTTCCAGGAGGTGTGGGGAGCATGGATGCCGTGCACCTGTGGGCACTGCCCTGGAGTTCTCAGGCTGTGCTGGGTGCTAGGTCAGGAAGGACAGGATCAAGGTAGTGTGGGCAGTGCCTAGAGAAGCACAGCTGGTGAGTGGCTGGTGGGGTTCCGGGCAGGTGGCTGGGACCCCAAGGTACTGACTTCTCATTCTGGAGGTGGAAAAGCTGACCCAATCTGATGTTGGGTCTGCAACACACTGAACTAGGGAGACAGGCACCCAGTGGCTGTGTAGTCTAGAGTCCATAGATGCCAGAGCTGCAGGGGAACTTAGGAGGGGGTAGGGCATAGTGGTTAAGCACTTGGGCTCTGAAGTCCCTTAAACATGGATTTGAACCTCTGCCACATACTTGGTGCATGAGCCTGGGAAAATTATTGAGCTGAAATTCACTTTCCACATCTCTAAAATGGGGATAATAATAGTTCCCATGTTATAAAGATTAGGTCAGAAAATATGTGCCAAGCACTTAGTTCAGTGCTCGGCATATAATGGGTGTTTAATACACACTGGCTCTTATTACTATTATGCTGTCCAATCTACTTGTTGACAGAAAATGTGTAGCTCAGACTGGAACAGGGATGAGCCCTGTGTCCCTCAGCAACTCAGTGGCAGAGCGGGGACGGGCACCCAGGTCTAGCACACCTGGCTCAGTTGCACGTCTCTCCCTTTCTGTAATGCCCTTGGTGGTGGTGGCAGGAGGACCAGCTTTGGTCCTAGCGGTCTCCCTCCCTAGCTCAAAGGCATCTTGCTTCAGGGGCCCCTGTTTCCCCCAGGGTGCTCTTACCCCTAGATATGAAACCTACCAAGCTTTCCTCTGAGGGTGTTCTGGCTCAGGGTGCACCCACAGGGGCTTGGGGGTGGCCCTCAGATGGGAGTCTCTGTCCCAGAACCTTAGCCTAGCCCCAAACAGCTTTCCAGTTCCCGAACCAAAGGCCACGTGGCAACTCCAGCCAAATGCTGGGGATAGTTCCCTTGGCTCATTCTCATCAGAGTCATTATCTTAGTTTATGAAGGAAAACACAAAGTTTAAGTTAATTTTAGTCCCATGATCCCTGGGAGCTATAGCAACCAGTCCTATAAAAACAACCATCTGTCCAGATTGCAGATATCGGAGGAGTCTGCCAGCACCCTGTATCGAACAGCTGAGGCAGAACATCCACTCTTGGCTTCTGGACCAAGGAGAGGCCTTGGGGGTCAACTGGAGCAGAGATCGTTTCTTGGATTCCTGACTAGTCCCTTTGAAACCCTGAAGGAAGCCACGGAAGAAATATGCACAGATGCTCAGACTTTGGCAGGTTTGAGGATCTCCTGATGACCAGTGTTGGGCACTATTCCTATTAAAAGGAATAGGAACTCCTGCATTGACTGAGAGCGAGCTTTGTGTTGGCCACTGTTGTAGACACTTGGAGCACTGCAGTGAACAAGTGTCTGCAGTGTCTGTCTAGTATGGGTGACAAGGAGCTTCTGATCATCACAAGTGCCAGGAAGGAAATAAGAGAGTGGGAGGTGTTGAACTATTCCTGTGAGAGAGGGGGTCAGGGAGGGCTTCTCTTAGGAGACGACGTTAGAGAGCAGGAACCTGAAGGACGAAGAATCTACAGGCACAGGAAAATCAAACGGCAGAATGTAGCTGGCAGAGGTAAGAGCCAGTGCAAGGATCCTGGGGGTGTTGAGGAAGTGAGAGGAAGCCAGTGTGGCTGAAGCAGAGTGAAAAGAGAGGAGAGTGGTAGGAGGAAAGGATGCCAAAGGAGGCAGAGGTCACACCGTGTGGAAATTTATGAGAATGTTCTCTGCCTTCTCCCTTTCCGTGTTATTCAAACCCAATCCATGTTGCAGGAGCCACCTATTCCAGGAAGCCTTCTCCACCTGCTCCAACTCAGAGATCCGAGATCCCGCCACTCTGAACCCCTGGGATAAACCTCAGAGTCTGTCCCACTCATGTGAGTGGGTGTATGCATAGGAAATGCACTCTTAGCAAGATCCAAAGCTCCTCGAGGACAAGGACCAGATATTAATTCTTGTGCGAGGCGTGCACTCATAAATACTCATACACCCATCAATATGCTCATAAATATTCAACCAAGACCTGTTGCACCGAGACGTTCACACTGCGTAAGAGCGAATCAAGTTGAATGTAGAATCAGCCTGCCTATCCACTTCTAGCCAGGTGGTCTTGGGCAGGTGATGTAGTCTCTGTGAGCCTCTATTTCTTTGTTAGTAAAATGGGCATGATAACAATACCTAAGTCAAAGGTTTGCTGTGAAAATTCTAAGTCCTCAGTAAACCTTAGCCTTTGTTACCTCTGGGAATGTAATCAATATCATCAATCACTTTATCTGTCCTATACTGATGACACAGATCCCCCAGCTAGAAAGCTAATCCCTAATGTGTCTATTGGTGGCACGACTAGAGTCTGAGCGGTTATTTTTAGACCATGTCCTGAATCGTCAGCGATGATGCCATCAGTGGCGGCTTCCCCAGCCTGTGCAGAGGCGAGTCCTGGCCTTGCCTTTGTCACAGATACAACCCCCTTGAATTGCTTTGCCCTCCTCAGCATTGCCTAATGTTAGGGAGGCTCTTGTAAAGATCACTGGTCATAAAAATCAAGACACATGGGCCTGGCTCTGCCCCTGGGAGCCCTTGGGTAATCCCTTGCTCGCTCCAGGCCTCAGTTTGCCTCTGAACAAGGAGGAGGTTGTTCTAGGTGATTCCTGCCGGCCCTTCCAGCCCCTTGGGTGCTCTGCTCCGTCAGGCTGTTTAGGCAACAGCCCCAGAACCCATGTGGCAGGCGGGGTTGGAAAGGCTGGTCAAGACAGCCCACCGCAAGGAGAGGGAGAAAAAATGGAAGAGAGAGACAGCTTTGGCTGCGGGGAGAAGGGGGAGGGGGAGGGGAGGGAAGGAGGAGACAGAGGAGGAGGAGGGACCGCGCGGTGGAGGGGGAGACAGACCCAGCCCAGAGCTCTGAGTGGTTTCCTGTTGCCAGGCTCTAAACCCCTCCACATTCCTGCAGACCTTCAGACTGTCCGGAGTGCACCGCCTGCCTGCTGCCTGCCTGCCACTGAGGTACGCACGACCCCTGCCCTGCCTGTCCCTTCTCCAGTCCCATAACCCCGACACTCCGGTTCACTCCTCCAGTCTGTGTATGAGGGAGGGGAAGCTGCGCTGGGAGGTCTCCGGGATCAGGGACGGGGATGTGCATCTTCTCTGGGCTCCACCTCTGCTCCCTTTACGGGCAGGGGCCACAGACTTGCTGCCTGTTGCTTTTCGGGTGAAATCAGGATCACCTGGTCTCCCCTTTAGGTTTGCAGAAAATAATCTGACTGTCTTTGAGGGAGTATTTTCTCTCTGTCTCTCTTTGTCTCTCTGGTTTCAGAGGCTGCCTGCCTGGCCCCTTTGCTCCCTTTACAAATGTAGCAGCCTCCTCCTTTCCGGGGAATCCGATCTGGTCACAGCTGCAACGGGGGACCGGCCAGCAGCCAGAGCCTGCTCTGCTCCCCATTCCAGGAGAAGCAACTTCCTAGACTTGGTTCTTGATCGGGACTCTGTTTTCTAAAAGGGATTTTGCAAGAATGATAAATTGAACCCTGGAAGGCTAAGGGGAAGTCTTCAACTTTAATCAGCACCTCTTGGAAGGCTCCTAGAATTCTGTCCTCTCAAATCCCCTCCGCCAACACACCCACACACACATGCGCACACACGCACACAAACACACAGTGATTCCGGTGCCATTCTGCCTGAAATAGCCCTATCAGATAGTCAGTCTTGGGTTAGGCATTGTTCCCACCCCTGGCTCCCCGGGGTATAAACAGGAACTTGCCAGCAGTAGCCCTCCGTGTCTAGATCTGAAGACCCCAGACATCTGATATGGTCCAGCCGAGGCACTGGGTCCGATGGGAGGCTGGGTGTGCGGGGGACATGCTGTAAAAAGTGGAAGGGGGAAGGCAAGACAGAGGGGGCTCCACGGCAACCTTCTCATGACTTGTTTTGAGCAGCTCAAACCCTACACAAGGCTGCTGTGTAGCCTTTTAGGGTATTAGGGCTTCTTCAGGGAAACTCCTTCCTGTCTTTGGTTCCTTGGCTGGTTGATGAGGGAACGTCCAGAGCCCTAAAGGGCAGCAAAGGAAAAGAGGGCACTGGGATGAGGCATGTCTTCCAGGAAGCCCGTCTGCCCAAAAGGGAACAGACAGACACACGTTTTCCCCCAGAAAATTCTATCCTATGTAGAACACATAGAGAAAGTATTTTCACCAGCGATTCTCTGGGGTTAAATTTCTACACACCCCAAGCATTGATGGCAGGGTGAGAAGAACATCAGAGGCAGGGTGACAGACTTAAGGCACCCCAAGATCACACACTTTCATGTGTGACCTTGGGTACGTGTCTCCTCTGGACTTAGTTTCCTCGTGTGTAAAGTTAAGAGGGGTGGACTTGATGGCCTTTGGGGTGCCTGACGTCCCCTGAAACTTTCAAAGGAAGGTCTCGTAAAGCAGAATCCACAGACTAGCCTTTGAATAGGCTCCAAGGTGCCTGCAAGCCCCTTAAAACTGTGTATACCGCAGTGTGTGTGTGTGTGTGTGGGAACAGAGAGCGGTGCACAAGAGGGTGTTCACAGCCTTCAGTCTTAAGATAGTCTCCAACAGATGCCTGACCCTCCAGATAGCCAGAGGGCATGACGTGGGAGATGGAGTGGGTGGGGATTGGAAGCAAAGGTATATTTTCAAGAGGATGAAAAGCTTTGACATGGGAGTGGCTGGGGAAAGAGAGAGTTAACTTGCAGCCATCAGCTGCCACATCGACAAAGCCTGGAGCAGAGGGAGGGAGGGGTAGAAGGGGGGTGCCTGGAGAAGGAATCAACTTTTGAAACTTTCTCCAAGTCCCACCCACCCCAAGGCTCTTCTCTGCCGTGACTCACTCTAGGAGGAATGCGAGTTGCCACGGTAACCTTTTTTTCAGGGTCTCTGCCTGCTGGCTGGGAGGGGACACTAGAAACAGTCAGAACATCAGGCTCAGTCTGAAGGTCCCCTACTCTACTCTGTCCCCAAACACCAGGACTTACTGTAGGCTCTGCCCCTCTGATCTCCTGGAACCTGGGGCAACTGTGGGGCTGTGACCTGCTTCCTGGACAGGTTACTTGAAGACCTGAGTTTTCATTCCACATCTGCCTCAAAGGTGCCAGTTGACTTGAACTATTGGCTTCTCCGTTCCGAGCCCCAGCTTCTTCCTTGGTTAAAAGGTTAAAAAGCAGTCACCTCAAAGGGATATGGTGTGTCCAAAATGGGATGAGGCACAGTGAAGCACTTTAGAAAGTGAAGCACTTTATAAAGTTTAGAAACTGTGGCCCCCTACCTATTAGAACTGACGGCATCCAAAGAGTTGGTGAGATCATTTCCAACCTTTTTGTCTGGCACTTTCATCATCTTGGGGTTTGGATATAACTTCCCTTTCCTAAAAAGTGCTAAACAAAATAAACACTGTTCAAATTCTCCTGATTTGGGCATTTTCTTGAGCACTTCCCAAGAATGTTGGACCCTCCCATGTGGAAAGAGTGTTGGCCAAGGCAATGGCAGAGGAGGGTCCTAATTCACAGTGAGTGACATTGGAAAGGGCTCTTCCCCTCTCTGGGCCTCAGTTTCCCAATCTGTTAAATGGGTAATCTACCCTAGATGGTCTCCAGATGCCCTTCCAGCTCTGAAGTCCTGTGAACCTAAATGCCAGGGGTGGCTTTCATTAGAGAAAGAGTCAGTCTATATTTTAAACACCCACTGGCCCCCTAGTTGAAAAGGAAACAAGAGAGAAGGGACTGGGGGACCTTGGGTTGCATAGCAGTCTGTTAAAATCTTTATCCATCAGTAGAGACTTGTCAACCAACAGCATGGCTGGGGTTTGCTATTCACAAGAGTAGTTTTCCTTGCTGAGAATGAGCTATAAATAGAAAAGGATGGTGGAGGAAAGGAAAGGGCTGAGGATGTGAGGTAAACAGGAGAGTGTTTGGTTTTGGACGATATTTAGATAGGTAGCTATGTGTGCAGAGATAGACAAGGACAGACACAAACCCACGAGGATGCCGAGTATATAAACACTGATTTCACCAACAGGTACCCACTGGCAACAGCTAAGAATAAATGTCTCAATACATGAGCAGACATAGAAGGTCATGCACTCACAGAGCTCTCCCCGAACAATACCCTGACTCTCAGACAAGGTCCAGGTGTGCATCTTGATGCACAGGCAGACTCTGACCCTCATCTGTACAGGCTGACACTGACGGATGCTGAGTCAGGTAGACATACTCAGACTCACAGACACAGCTTCATACAGGTCCTCAAGGCCATAAGTCACGTATACAGACACACAAGTGCCATTTGTAGCCACGCAGAGATGTGCACAGCCAGGCCTAACTACAGGTCATGGCAGGGAGACAGACACGTGACCACCTGTTACACATGACAGACAGAAATCAAGACTCAGAAAGGGAAAATAACTCACTTAATGTCTGAGCCACATTTTCAGACGTTCGGAAACATCCACGTGTTCATCTTGCTTTTTTGGTCTGTTTCATCTGATCGGTTTGGCATCCTGCCTACACTTCCCTCTATAGGAAACAAGCCCTGTGTATAATAAGTGATGAGCAGTACTCCGCTCTCCTTTGCTGGCCTGCCATGGCCTAACCCCGCCCACGTGGCTTTGTCTGCAGGGCGGCAGGACATGGTTAAGAGGCGGTTACTCACTTGCTTCCTGCTGGCTCCCTCTCTAATCTCCTTTAAAGGACAGAAGGGCAGCCTGGAGCTGAGTTTTCAGCCAGCCCCGGAGATTAATGAAGTTACCTTTTCCCTACAGCACAGAGCCTGGGTCCTGACCCCAATCCTGAACTCAGGGACAGCTGGGCTGTATAGGGCCGGGGCCAGTGACCAGTGACTTGACAGCACTATTAGAAAACCAGCCTCCTTCTCAACCAGGAGATGTATTAGAATTAACTCTGCCCTCACTCGTCAAGCCATAGAGCTTGATGAAGATAGGAATGATGATACCAACTCTCTCCAGAGTGGGTTCTTTCAGAAACTTGGTAGTAACACATCTCATCTGGGGATCCTTCTGGGCCACCTTGTGTTAGTCATGGCCTTAGATGAAAACAAACTGATCAATGAAAACAAACAAACAAAAAACCCCCCAAAATCAAGGTAAGCATCTGGATGTTCCTGAACATCTGGAAGTTTGGCTCAGGTACCAGCTTGCCATATGACTTCAAGTGAAGTATCTTGCATCTCTGATTCTCAATTTTCCTAGCTCTAAAATCAGAAGTACGGCAGAGAGGTTTCCTATGACTTGACAACACCAGTCCATTGGTAGCAGCTGCCAGAACTGTGCTCAGGAATTGAATGCCACTACGGACTTCAGAGGCCAAAGGTCATATGACTGATCAGTAATGTCTGCCACAGGCACAGGATGGGTAGGTGGAGGCATATATGCCATGGATTTGCTATCTTTGGGATGTGACAGCCTGGACACTTTGATGTTATTTCTCAGCCACTCCATTTGTGGTCACCGGATGCAGCACTGGCCTCTAGGGGGAGCCAAGGAGGAGAGTCCGAAGCCCCGCCCTGGAGCCTCTCCTGACCACCGAGAAACGTGGCATCTTAGATGTGTGTATGGAATCTCAGTCAGGCTGATTCTAGTCTCAAACTCTGGGGCTATTTCTGAGTTGCCCCTGAACCTCTTCAAACCTCAGCTTAAGCATCCATAGTACCTTAAAAATTTCCCTTAATTTCTTCCCTTCCAGCAAGAAATGTTAGAAGTGGAAGCAGAGAATTCAGGGGCAAGTTGGGAGAGGTGTTATTCTGGAAGGCTTCTGCTGGAGTTGACTCAGAACATAAAGGCTGAAAGGAACCTTAGCGACCACCTTGCTTCAGGGTTTTCAACTCTATTCATAGGAAAACCGAGAGACATTCCAAGGTGTCCCAGGGGTGTCCCAGCCTCCATCTCAACACCACTTTCACCTGGCTTTCTTTTTTTCAATTTCAAGCTGATTTAGTAAATAGATAATAATATAGTCACATGCTTCAACAAATGCAAAAGGCTTTTAGCTGTTTTCAACTCGGACTTCTGCAGAAGACTTCATTGAGAGAAAGGGCTCCCTGGCCTGTAGACTTTTGAACACCACTGATCTAAAACAACCTCCTAATTGTGCAGACCAGGGGCACTAGGTAGGGTGCTGGGAGTAGAGAAGTCTGCTTTAATTAGCACGGTGAGCTGGGAGCCACATCGCCAAGGCTCAATCCCTGGACTCCTGACTTCCACGTCACCTCAGAGTGGCTGTGTCTGCTCCCGGGGATGTGAGAGCCAGAGTGGCCACACGGGCCAAGATGGCGCCTCTCTGGCCTGGCTCGGCCCTCCTTCCGAGTCCTGGCTCCCTGGGGGGCCTGGCACATGAGCTCCTTTATTAGCCTCTAGGCTTGTTTTCCTCTCTTTGGGCTTGTTTACCAGCAATGTGTGTTTTTGGAACCCTTGTTTCCAAGCCAAACAGTGGAAGCAAGATGCCTGGTTTGCGTCAGCAGCCCAAGTGAGAGGGCAGCCTAGGGCCCAGCCTTTGTCACTGTGTCCTCTGGGAGCCAGGCTGGTGTGCCCGAGACCAAGAGCAGCAATGTCTCCTTTGTTCCACCCCAACACCTTTTCTCTCTGGGCCACAGGCAAAGAGCTGGAGTTCTTGCTTTGGATTTTCGAGGGGGACGGAGATTCTGGGATCCTTGGATTTTAAGATACTCTTCCAATGCTTACCTCTTGTATTCTCTCATGTAAATCACCCTGAGCCTTTCAAGGTAGATGTCTTATTTCCATTTTACAGATGGAGAGATGAATTGAAGCCCAGAGAAGGAGAGTCACTTTCTGAAAAGTCACACAACTGCTAAGTGGCAGAGCCAGGACTTAAACCTGCATATTCTGTGTCCAGAGCCTGTGGGCTTACATTTCTGCCATACTGCCTCTATAAGAGTTGATAAACACTCTAATATGGTAGCCACTAGCTACCATATGACTAACGTACGGCTATGCAAATTCAAATTAATTGAAATGAAATACAATGAAACACTCAGTCCTTCATTTGCACGTGTGCATAGGAACATTCAAGTATTCAATAACCCCATGTGGCCAGGAGCTACCATATTGAAACAATGCAGATGTAGAGTATTTTTGTCATCTCAGAAAGTTCTATTATCCAACATTACTCTACAAACTCTTTGACTCAAATCAGATCTGATGATTGCATCTCAGATTCTGTGTTTCATGTTCTCCAGAGTCTATGATTCCAAGACCCACATTCTAAAATTGTATGATTCTGAGATTTCTCCCAGTTCTGATATTCAGCAAATTTTCAATATCCAGTGAGAGCCCAAAGGAGGCCCTTTATGTTCTGAAGGAGATAAACTGGGAGGGGGCTGGCTGTACTTTTCCATCCCTAGGAGTCTTTCTAAAGAGGGAGAAGTGACCTCAGCTTCGGGTCCTGCTGGCAGCCAAGGACGGGTTTTCAGACATCTCCAGAGCAAATAAGGGCGAAAGGAAGGGACTTGATGTACGGAACAGGAGGCGGTGGGGTGGGAGTGAGTGGTGTCTGCATCTGATGACCACTGAGCCAAGGGAAATACACCTCCTGTCCCCCCCTCCCCCGGCCCAGGCTAATTTCCTTCCCTGAACCTCAGGCCAGTTCACAGCCCAACTGAGCCCCCTTCAGGTGAGCAGCTGAGAGAGAACGGCCGCCAAGGGAAATAGCCTGCGAGCTGGAGGGCTTGCCAGGGCTTGGGTTGGGGGTGGGGCAGCCTGGGTCCTCATTCAGCCCTGACACTTGCTCCCTGGGGCTCTGGGCAGGTTTTTTTCCCTTCACTGGGCCTCAGCCTTCTCTCCTGTACCGAAGGGCAGAAAGACATACCTTGAACTCTCAGTGGGATGCTAGCTTATGGAAACATGTCCTTTGAAAAGGATAAACACAGGCCACAACACAAACTAAAGAGATGCAAAGGAGGGAGTTTTCATTTAATACTGGTCCTTTATACAATGGTGTTTCTCTTTTCACTGGGCATACCAGGCCTAGGATTGACTGGCAAAGGATATGTGCACAGCGGATAGTTTCCGGAAGCTGGGGTTTGAGCCTGTGCTCTGACCTTACTGGGCTTAACGATGCACCCCCTTGGCCTTGCAGGATGCGCACTTGATCTCTTCGGCCAGTGGTGGTTTAGAGAACCTCAGAGAGGGAGCTCATGGGTACGGGGAGTCCGGCCAAGCACCCAAGAGCCATCCAGCCGCCCCCTTCCCCCCATCCATCATCTGGAGGGAAAGGGTGCTGGGACTGGTGACGGAGCACTGGGCAAAACCCAAAACTTGGAAAATAACTCCTCCTCCAAGATTTTCTGTCCTTAATACTCTCCTTTTCTGCGTTTCTCCCCCTGCCCCAACCCCAGTCTCTGAGCACAATCCCTATGAGGCCCAGCCCAACTCCACAAGGAGGGAGTTTGTCAACTTGGCAGGGTCTGAATGTTGCGTGACTTCCTCCGTCTCAACCTCAGACTCCGCATAGGGACAGTGGGACTCAGAGCTCCCCCGTGCCTGCCCGCCTGCCTGCCAGGGGGTCAGGGGCTCCAAGGAGACAGAGCTGTATGTGAGGCCTTCAGAAACCATAAAGTACTGTAAGATCTAGAATTATTTTTCTCTTCCTGCTGCAGCACCAGGTATGGGGGTGGCAGAAGGGGTCAGTGCACTGCTGAGAAAGTGCAGGTGGTGCGCAGGACAGACGGAAGAGCCGACCAACAAACCCTTCCCTGGTCAAGGAGTGGGGGGCAGTTCCTCTGCTCAGATGCAGGACACTGGTTCTGGAGACGTCAGTCTTCCTGGCTCTCCAACCTGAAGCTTATTGCATTTCCAGTCCTAACCGGGCTGTTTCTCCAACGACATGGGCTCTCTGTCATTGGAGCCCAGAGAAGGTAACTTTTTTTGTTCCAGCTACCAGTCTTCATTTTGACTCTTCACCTTCAAATCATCTCAGATATGTCCTTCACTGATGCTTTCTCTCCTGTCTCGTCCAAAGCCACAAACAGGGGTTTTGCTTGGGTCTCCCAAATGTGGAAGTAAGAAGGGAGATTTTTCCATCTCTAGGCTGGGGGCTGGGGGTGCAGGGAGGGGGACAAGCATACAACTGTGTGATGGGAGGGACATTCCCAAAACTGCCTGGAAAGGGAAGCCTGGACTCCTCTGGGAGTTAGGGACATGGTGAAGCAAAGCCAAGCTCCCAGGCTGATTTCTTTAAACTTCTGTTAGTTTTACTTCTTGTACATTCCGTGACATAGTGAGGTTTGGTGGCTATTTTAATCCAACAAAGGACCTCTTTGAAATCTGCTCTTCCTCTGCCTGTTTCTGCTATCTAAATACTATAACCCAAGTGAGGATGGGGGCAGTGGGACATGATGATGTGTGCCAAGACCAGCATGTGCTGGGACATTTTTAGGGCCCAGCCTACCACCTCAAAGGTCACCTTGTCTAATCCTCTCAGTTAATGGAAGGGGGAACCAGGTCCAGAGAGGATGAAGGGTTTAACCAATACACCAAGTTAGTATCGAGATAGAACCAGTATGCTGGGCATTTAGTTTCAAGTCAAGTGTTTCTTCCATGATGCTAGGGTACCTCCCACCAAGGTGCCTGGTCCGTTGAGGAGTCTTGGAAGGAACTAGGGATGATAAGCCTGACATGGAAGTTTGGGGGACAAACGAGGGAAGACATGGCCACTGCTCCCCTTGACTAAAAGCTGCCTGGGGGTTAGAGCGAGCATGCCTGCTGTGTGTGACCACAGAAGGACAATCAGAATAGACCAGGAGAAGCTTGAGGGAGGCAAATTTAACAGTATAAGAACTTTCTAAAGCCATTTGGAAATGGAAGTTCCTTGAGTTAGAACTAGAAACAGAATGTCCCCATCACAGTTCCTCGGTCAGGGATGATACTTTGGCAGGGAGTTATCAGAGGAGATGCTGGTCCAAGATGCCTTCCAGTCACCAGACTGTTAGAATCGAGAGCTCAGCCTCTAGGGGAAGGTCTAAGCAGTGACCAGGACAGGAGAAATCTCTAGAACTCAGCTGACATCCTTGAGCTGTGAAGGGAGAGGGCACGTAACATGCAGCACATGTCTAAGCGTTTGGATAGTTTCCACACAGGGTCCAGAGAAGTGCCGTCTATCCTGGTACAATGGAGGAAAATGTGGCCACCGACAAGTTTCCATGGCCACCCTCCAGGACTATTTTCTTTAAGAATGTAGAGCGCATTGACTCAGATTAGCAAGGGGATGCTGCCTACTAACTTCTTCTGTCAGAAAGGGGTAGGAAGGAGGAGGAGGAGGGACGGAAAAGAACCCTAGGACATCCGGGCTGGAAGGGCCCTTGCACATGATCTGGTTCAGCATCGCCCAAACTTGACTGATTAGCCAATCACCTTTGGCGACTCAGCTTTTAAAAAATTAACTAGATGTGCTGAGAAAGGATATTTAATAGCATCACCATAAATGGAAAAACCCATGCACCTCTGTCACAAATAGAAGGAAACTGTAAAACCGAACACAAAGGAGACAAAACAACTTTACTGAATTCCAGCTGGATGTAGTTTCCTGTGGAGGCTCTGAGCCAGAGACCTGCTCTCTGTTCAAAAGGGAGGTGGAGGAGGGTTAGAGAGGGGTTAAAGACAGGTTAGCACCAAACTGAGACTTTCTTTTATAATCAGGACTGAAAGACAACCAAGAAGAAGCAACTTTCTCCCTTGTCTTTCACAACCATTTAACATGTACCAGCTGAAATGTTCTTGCATAGCACAGGAATTCAGCATCAGAAGGACCTCTCCATCACTGAGCGCTCAACCTCTCTCCCCCTACAGGGTTCCCAGCACCATGAGGGCCTGGATTTTCTTCCTCCTTTGCCTGGCCGGGAGGGCCTTGGCAGCCCCTGTAAGTACCTAAAGATCCTATCAGCCTGTCTTACCTCCTACCACCGGCTCAAGGGCATCCAATCTGCCAGCCCTGGATACTTGGAGGGGATGAGGACTTCCCCATCCTGAGTTGACTGTCTTATTTTTTAAAAAGATTTTTTTTCTTAAACTAACAAGCTCAGAAGAAAAATTAAATGACCATTGGGTGGAGAGTCCAGAGATGAGAGATTTCTAAGTAATGTGAAGATGAACTTCTTAGCAATCAGAGCTTCCCAGAGATGGACTAGAATTGCTTTAGAGGTGACCTTATTGTCCCATGAGGAATTCTAGCAGAGGGGGAAGTACTGTTGGGGATGATGTTAGAAGAAGGTCAAGCCACAGAGAGAGGGCTGGGTGAGTTTCTGCATCAGTGGGGGCTGTTGGGTTGCAAGCCACAGACTCCAATCTCACTAAATTAGTGGGGCAAAGGATATAGGGGTAGATTATAAAGTCAAAGGCCTGGGGGAGGCCTGGGAAAGGGCAGCTCTGGGATCTGGGAGGTGAGGTCTAATGGACAGTCACAGAGACGGTGCCATCTGAATGTATCTACGCTAATAGTTCTCTCATCTCGAGAGAATGTGCCAAGAAGATTGAAAAAATTCAAGGAGAGTAGATCTAGTTGAGCTTGGGTCCTGGGCCTGCTTCTTGGCCAGGGGAGTGGGAGGCACCTTGACAGACAGACAGGCCCTCCAAGGATCGCAGGCAGAGGGCCAGTTGTGGTCATACAGCGCTACCCTGGAAGCCAATGACGAGAAAAGGGAGGAAGAAAAGTGAAGAGGGCAAAAAGGTCAGTTTCTTTCAAACTGTGATTCCCCTCACTCTCTCTTCACTAGGAGGGGTGAGGATGGTAGACTCTGGCAATCTTGAGCAGGCAGGGAGATTTAGGCAAAAGATTTGGCAAGGTTAGCATTACTTTTAGAAGTAGCCGCAAGGGGAAGGGCAGAGCTCAGTGGTAGAGGGCGTGCTTAGCATCTACAAGGTCCTGAGTCCAACCACTAATGCCTCCATTAAAAAAGAAAAAGAAGAAGAAGCTCCAGGCAACCAGGCACCTCGAAGTCATATGTTATCTTGCTTCTTCCTACCCCAAGTTGATAACAAGAAGGAACTGCCAAATAATAGTAGTAGTAGTAACGTCACACTTGTGGGAAAGGTAATGACATCTTTTGAAATTCAGTGTGCATGCCCTCAGGGTCTCAGTTTCCCATCTGTAAGATGGAGGGGAGTGGTCTGTATCAGTGGTTTTCACACTTTATGGGAGTCTCAGCAACAGAAATGCCTTTCTAAGCCAAATCCTGCTAGACACCCCAGACGTGAATATATTAAGTGAGGTGCTCTGGAGCTCCACCGGGCCCCCACGTTTGGCCCCTCTTGTGCCCTCATCGCCCACCCATTGTGGTCCCCAAGGCACAGCTCCCAGTTCTAGTGATCCAGGCCAGGACACTTCAGCGGTGAAGCTGGCCTTGGCCCTGGCCTCTCCAACTCCATTTTCACTTCCTAACAGCAACAGGAAGCCCTGCCCGATGAGACGGAGGTGGTGGAGGAAACCGTGGCTGAGGTGGCCGAGGTAAGTGGGTGGTGACCCGGGACCCCCGGCCCCTCTCTGCCTGTATCTGCTCCTTGGGGAGACCAGACAGGTGCTAGCGGGCCGTTCGTCCCTTCCCGTGTGCACGCGCAGCACGGGTGTAATCCTGTGTACCCCTGATCCAGACACACTCCTGAATGCTCCCCAAACCTTCCATGGAAACTTACAGTTGGGAGCTCTGATTTTTAATTTTTTAATTTTTTAAGCCATAGGACATTTTTTTCTCAGATGATCACCCATTGTCTTCCTGTATGTCAACCAGATGAAGGGGGGCTCTGGTGTTGCTGGCAGGGCTACAGGGCTTGGCACCCCTTCCGGCCCTGACACCCCTGGTGGCCTCTGAGGCATTCCCATAGCACTCTGGGGCACTCCAAGCACAGTGGTCCATAATATTAAATCTCCATTCTGGACCTGGCATTTGTGCTTTTAGTGGCTTGGGCCCAGCACAGCTTTCCAGTCTCATCTCTCACCATCCCCTTGTGGGTCCCTGAGGCTCTAGGCAAGTCCTCTCCAGCCCTGACCTCTCTCTTTCAAGTGTGGACTAGGGGACCTTTGACTCATTCTTCTCCCTCCACCCCAGGCACCTGTGGGAGCCAACCCCGTCCAGGTAGAAGTAGGAGAATTTGATGACGGCACCGAGGAAGCCGAGGAGGAGGTGGCGGCTGAAAGTAGGTCTCTTGCCCGAGTGCTGTCACATCCAGCCTTTGCCCTCTGCCACCTGGGCCTGGGGCATGGGCCCATCCTATGTGCGGTTCCTCCCCAAGGAAATGCAGGGTGGGGTCCTCCCTACAGGCTGGGCTGTGGAGGAGAAACTGCCTGGACTTCAAGGTTGGGAATATTTTCAGGAATCTGGAAAGATCTATTTATAGCCAGGCCGCTGTGAGTGTCAGGAAGGGAAGTTCACAAGTTGGAAATGGCCCTCTCCCCTCACAGCTCTTCACTCTGAATCCAAGTGGGGTCTCCTATTCCGGATGAAGTCCCCAGTCACACCTGGTCCCTGAGCTCCTCGAGGGCTCTGCCTGGAAGCTTTCACACTCAGGAGCTTCCTTGATTTCCGCAAAGCTATGAGGAAATAAGGCCTGGAAACCTGACACAACTCATATAAGGCTACCCATGGGGTCAGATCCAGAGCGAGAGAGATGACCTTGGGCCCCTGGCTCCACCCACCATGAGGGCATCTCCATCCCATGGGGGCATTGTACTAGGGGTTAACAGGATGGACTCCGGAGGCAAACCAGCTAAGGCTGCCGACTCCCTCTGTGACGCCCTCTGGCAACCTGCTAAGCTTTTCTCAGCCTCAGTGTCCTCCTGCCTGACATGGGGAATGAATGGTGAAGACGCTAGACCTTCACTCCAGGAAGGTCGGAGGATTAGGAAATAAAGCATAAGTGCCGTTGGCCCAGTGCCTGGCGGAGCAGGCATCCGACAAAGGATGTCGACAACACCCCCGATCGAGCATCAGGAGGAAAAGGCTGGATGAGCTGTCATCCTGAAGCACAGAGTTTTCGGTGGAGCAGGGGGCTGTCTACTGAGTCGTGTTCCTTCCCCCGGCACACCCCCTATCCGGTGTTTACCGGACAGAGCCAGGCTCTATTGTTCAGCGTGGGCCTTGGGGCCCTTTTCCGCCACAGCCACTTGAGTCCGTTTTGTTGGGCCTCACGGCTCCCCAGTCAACAGCTGACTTTCCACGTCATTCCAGAAAGTCTATCCTAGAATCCAGAAATGTCTCACTATGATTGATTGACTGGATAGCTTAGAATCTCACAATGCTTCAATCCTGGGGGGAGCTACCTGGCATCCAGTGCTCCTAGGTCCCAAACTGAGCCTCCAGCCCCCCAAGCGTGCCTTGCCCTGACCTCAGACTGAATCTCTGATCCCCAGACCAAGGCACCTGCTCCCCTAAGTGCCGACTGCTGGGTTCAGCAGAGGGAAGGGAGGACGCAGGGTTGGCCAAAGCCTGAGTTAGGGCCGCAGCCGAGGATCTCCGTCCAAATTCATCTGGACTGGGATAGGGTGGACGGGCCAGTCTGGGGGGTGCTCACTGCATGCCCTTGTGCTCTACCAGACCCCTGCCAGAACCACCACTGCAAACACGGCAAGGTGTGCGAGCTGGACGAGAACAACGCCCCCATGTGTGTGTGCCAGGACCCCACCAGCTGCCCTGCCCCCATCGGCGAGTTTGAGAAGGTGAGGACTGATGGACGAGGGGCAGGGGGCTGGGGCTCTCCAAACACAGAGTGTCTGCCCAGAAAACTGGTGGCTTGGTGGTCCCAAGCGGCAGCCCCTGTCTCAGAAGTCCCCTCACTAGATCTAGTCACGGCAAGAGAGTGGAGGTGAGTTACGGGGAGGCTCCTCCTGTCACTGGATCTCTCCAGGAACCAGGAGGAGTGTATTCAGCACCAGGAGGTTCCACCTCTATGCCGGACCCAGGAGAGAACACATCAACACCGGCCACTGAGAGAGGGGCTTGCTCCATGTGGAAGTGGCTTAGCAGAGTATCAGGTCCAACAATGTGGGTTCTAGGTCAGACTGAAGGTTGACATCAAACCCAATCTCCATCACTTGTTAGAGTGAGATCTTAGCTATGGGAACTTCTCAAGTTTTCTCACCTCTAAAAGTGGGACAGAAATAGACTTTATCTCATAGAGCTATTGGGGGGATTTGTCAGATACTGCCTGGTACTTAGTAAGTATTCGCTATGTGCTATTTTAAAAAATCTTTCAAACTTGTCCATTCTACCTCCAATAGGACTCATCCATCCATCCATCCATCCAAGTAAATATTTATTGAGCACACATGCACGTCAACCATTGTGCTAGTGGTAATTCAGCTCAGGGCAGCGAATCTGGTACCAGCATCATTCCCACAGCCTCCCACCTGTCTTCTCCATCTTCAGTCTCTCCCCAGTACAACTTATCCTCTGGGCTCCAAATTTTAGCATCCTTGTCAACTCTTCCCTCCTCCTCACTCCTTCACCCCCTAATCCCACGGTCACCCATGCCCATCAAGTCTCCCTCTGCAGCGATATATAAGCAATAAGTATTTACAGGATATTCCCCGCAAAGCTCCCCTCCTCCTGACACAGCAATTTACTGCCACTGCCCTTGTTCAACCCACAGCATCTCTGCTCAGCCACCCCCATGTACAGAGACTTGCTAGGACGACCAACGTAACTCAGCATACAGTTGTACTCACAGCTGAGACTTAAGGATACGTAGCTGGATGATGAGGGAACAAGACACAGGCGGAGTCTGGACGAATCCACGCACAGACATTGTGCTAACTCTCTCCCCGCTGCGAGGGGTCTCAGAGAATGCACTCTTTCCCCAGCTACCAAGATGAGATGTAGCCACAGATGAGCAATGTTTCTGCCTGGGAAAGCCCATTACAGACTCAGCACTCAGCATTTAGTTGAGGGTCACGTGGGCACCTTCTGCCTAGCATGTACCCAAACTCCAGACTCCGAGCAGGAAAACAGAGGTTCAGCATAAACTACATTGTTTGTACAAGCCGACTAGGCATAGTGAGCCACCTGCATGGCTTGTGGGAAGTTTTCTAACAGTAAAGTCTTCTAACTGATGACTAGCCAACTTCCCAGATGCCAGTCAAGGGCCAACCTTTTAAGCAGGTCTTTCTAAGGTAACAATCCCAGGCCTGCTGTATTAACTCTTTTCTGTACACCTTGCCCTTGCCCCATCCCACCTTTAATTCATCCTCTTCATACCTTCCAGGTTTGTTTGCCCATATATCAGCCCTGACTCTGCTCAGAGAGCAGGAGTGGCTCTCAGCATGGGCTGAACTCAGCTCGGGAGTCCAAAGAGCGGGTTCTTGCTGTGGCCCCACCACTACCTCACTGTGTGACCCCAATCACGCTCCTTGCCTGACCCTCAGTGTCCCCATCTCTGAAATGGGCAAGGATGGCAGTATCAGTGAAGGGCCTTGGGAATGAGGGTGAGGAACTCTGTGCTTTGCCAACAGGTGTGCAGCAATGATAACAAGACCTTCGACTCTTCCTGCCACTTCTTCGCCACCAAGTGCACACTGGAGGGCACCAAGAAGGGCCACAAACTTCACCTGGACTACATCGGGCCTTGCAAGTGTGAGTCTCCCCTTGGGCCCTGCCAAGCCTCCCAGCTCAGGGAGAAGGCAGTGAACTGTCAGTGATGCTGGCGCTGCCACCCCTGTGCTGTGTGGTCTTGGGCAAGTCTCTTCCCCTCTCTGAGCCTCAAAGTTCCTGTCTACAAGTAGGTTCCTCTCAGCTCTGCATTCAGGACGCCTTGGGGGAAGGACTGAGCAGGTGTGGGAGCACACGATCAGGGAGGATTTCTGGAGCCTCTCACTAGCATCCAAGACAGCTCATTTCTTTTCTGTAATGATGAGGAAGTCCTTCTTTAGGGCTAACCACAATCTTTCCTGCTTCAACACTGTAAAACAAAAATGATGTTCTATCTGGGCCGAAAAAGTGTTTTAAAAATATGTGAATTTGAATGCCTTAAAATTGGGGCAAGCCTGTCAGTTCCCCTCAGGCCCTGTTACTCTATATTGTCATATCCTTGGCCCTTTTGCTCCATTACATTCCTATCTGCCTGCATAAGACATATGATTAACCACCCTCTTCTATAAACTTGGGAGCCAGGTGTTTGGGAGAAGGGACACCAGGGTGTTGTCTGGCCTTTTGTTAGTGATGCCAGGTGCAGATTCAGCTGGCCCAGGTGCCTGCTTCAGTGTTGGCTGCCTCTCTGTCATGTGAAATAGCCAAGGCTACCTCTGCTCCCTCTCCAAGCCAACATCCACATGGTGCGTTTGGTACATTCTGGCACCAGATGACATGGGAGAGCCACTCACCTGCCTCAGGTGTGCAGAGTGCAGAAAGGTACAGGAGGGGAGAATCAGGTTCTCCTGGGACCAGCCCTGCGCTGATGGTGTGAAATGAAAAGGCACAGGCCTGGAGAGGGAGGCGGGGGAGGAACGTTGGTAGGAATTCTTGGGCAGTGAGACTGACATGTGTGCCAAGCAGCTCTTCCGTCCTCTAGGGCGCATCCCTTACTCCAGCTCCTGCTCCTCCATCCCAGACGTCCTCTCCCACCCCCCAGCTGCTGGCGAAGAACTTAGTGGTCCTAACCCCAGACGGGGCTTTCCACAGGCCAAGGATGGGGAAGGACAGACCCCTAGGCCCCCAGGCACCCACATGCCCTGGTCCTGAATGAGGCTCTGACAATGTAGCCTTAAGCAAACCCCTTCTCTCCAGACCTCTAATAAATCTAATAAGAGGGTGGACCTGGATGTCATCTCCAGGTCCAACATTTTGGAATTCTAAGTTCCAAAGACCAGGATGGAATCGTATTGCTAAGGATGTTCTGGTGATTAAGCATTCCTGACTCTCCCACCCTCGCTCAGCAGGGCCTGTGGATGGATACTACTCCTCAGCCTCCCAGCTTCAAATACCTCCCAATGGCTGATACCCACGTCATGGGTCCTGGCCTCTGTTTTCAGGGCCCAACACCCAGAAAAGTGCAGCAGCCATTGGAGCGAACCATTTCCCTCAGCAGATCAGATCAAGGCCGAGGGAATAGCAGACGTGCCTTTGCACGTTTCCATTTGCAGAGCATTCTTCCCCACACACAATCTCCTTTGTTCAAAAGGTGGGAAGAAATTGTGGCCCAGAGAGGCTGAGCTACGGTGCCAAGATGGCTGATTGAAGTGGCTGCAGGAGGAGGGCACAGGGTGGGGAGAGAGGCCCGGCCAGCATGATGGCCATCAGGCAGGGAGAGTGGGGTCTGTGCTGACCACCCCTGTGTTTTGGGCCCTAGACATTCCCCCCTGCCTGGACTCCGAGCTGACGGAATTCCCCCTGCGCATGCGGGACTGGCTCAAGAACGTCCTGGTCACACTGTACGAGAGGGACGAGGACAACAACCTGCTGACCGAGAAGCAGAAGCTGCGAGTAAGTGGTCTCTTTCCAGCCTGTGCCAGGGCGCCTGCCTGGCCCTGCAGTGGACCCACCTTGGCCCCGGGCTGGCTCAGACCCACAGTCCCATTCCCAGATCTAAGTCCACATCCCTGCTCTGACAAATGCTTTCATCCTGGGCACCAGGGCACAGCATCCTCCTCGCTGCCTTGGGAGGCTCACAGGGCACATTCACATCTTAAAGGCTCTGAGAAGTCCTGTACTGAAAAGACCTGCTCACTTTGTTTGGCTCGGTGTTAAACAAGAGACATAAACAACTCTATTCCTTTTTCCTTCTGAGTCTGTGGATCTTAAACTCTAATGGACATCTCAAGTGCTTGGAGTACTGTTAAAATGCAGCTCCCTGGGCCCCACCTCAGGCCTGCTGAATTAGCCTCTCTGTGAAGCAAGGCCGTGAAGCTGCATTTTAACATATGCCCCAGTCATCTCGACAGAGAGCCCTCTGAGATCACCCCGGGGCTCCACTCTTGTGGATGAGATGCTGGTTCCCATCTGCGCCACTTCCTTCCCTCATTTTGAACCTTGGCCTTGGCTGGTCTTAGCCTGCTCTGGTCTCCCGTCAGAGGTGGGAGGGGCCTTCACTGGCCTGGACAGTCTCCCTGGACCCTTGTCACATGGTGTCCCTGCTCCCCCAGGTGAAGAAAATCCACGAGAATGAGAAGCGCCTGGAGGCCGGAGACCACCCCGTGGAGCTGCTGGCGCGGGACTTCGAGAAGAACTACAACATGTACATCTTCCCTGTGCACTGGCAGTTCGGCCAGCTGGACCAGCACCCCATTGATGGGTAAGACCCAGGCCCTCAGGAGCACGGGGGCTGCTCTGGCCTGGCCCAGGGGAGGACAGTCGTGGGTCAGGGCTGCCAGGCGCACTAGACATGGCTGGAAGACCTCCCAGCGGACTCAGCTGCTCCCAGCCCTGGAGCCTAAGGGCTGGGGTAGGCAGGGACAGGTGTAGGAGAAGGGATGCAGAGCCAGGAGGAAGAAAGCCATGAGACACTACCCCCCTGCCAGAAGAGGCAGACTGCATCAGAACTGAAAACCCCTCCTTAACCCTGCGAGTGCCGGCCTTGGGTATCCATTAACGCTTAGGAAAGAGAACCTGACTTTGCAGGGTAGCTGGGCTGAGGTGGGGCAGCCTGCACGCTCACAGTCCTTCAGCAAGACCCTGAGACTCAGCCCCAACAGGGCAACCTGGCCCCAGAAGTTCTTAAGAAGTTCACAGAGCCAGTCCTGCCCCCATGGCAAGCCCTTGGCTTGATGGCTCTCACGGCTCTTGTCAAAATGAGTTAGGAAGTGCTGTGTGACTGCCCTGCAGGACAGGCAGGGAGCTGTCAGTGAACACTTACTGAGTGTCTATGATGTGCCCAGCATGATTCTAGGCAGGGGATTTAACAGCAGTCAGAACTGACACGGCCCTTGCGCCCATGGAGCTCACACTCTGGGTGATGATCTGCTTCTCACAATTGAAGGAAACAGTAAAGAAGATTCCCACAAATTGCAGATGGTGGCTGGCGTATCTGCAGGCGAGCAGGGGTTGTTACCCTCACCTTCTGGCCTTTTTCTGCCGTGTGTTCTAAGAGGAGCACAGAAAGGAGGGCCCCCTGCTCTCACACTGTGCCCGAGGGCGCCCCTCTCCAGGAGGCTTACTGCGCCCTCCTGGTCCAGCCATTGTCTGGAGCCTGACCACCCAGTCTGCAATCCTGGGGAGCTGGGAAAAATCCCTGCTGCTCCTCTCCCAGGCTCTTTCTGTGGCTGGAGCCAACTGAGTCACCCTGTGGAGGGAACATCTGGTGCTCAGGCTGAGCAAGGAAGGGCCAGGAGGGAGGCTTCCAGATGGGACTGCAAGGACTGTGTGTCTGGGAAAGCGCTCCAGCTGGGTCAGGAGATCCATCCTCCCCCTGTTGTCCCAGAGCTGCACGGTGACCTTGACTGAGACCCTGCCCCTCTCTGGGACTCCGTTTCTCACAATGAAAGGGGATGGGGGCTTCCTTCAAGTTCAACCATTGTGAGATTCCTTCCACGAGTTGGGAGGAGCAGGAAGGCCTGGGGATTGGAGAGAAAATTGGAGTCACATTGCGGCCCCCAGGGGAAGAGGGTTTTGAGGACAATGAATTGAAGGCTCTGGGGAACAAGGGAAAAAAATCAGACAGTGCTCTGGAGTCCAGACCAGCTGGGAGAATAGGAATGGAGGACAGTGGGAGAGAAATCAGAAGGCTCCCTCTGACACATTACACGGTGTACAAAAGATTAAAGTTCCATGAAGCTATGAGCTCCCTTTGACCCTCCCACTAATCCCAGTCCCTTCCCACGCTCCTCCCCAAAAGTCAGCACCATCATCATTTTGATCCTTCTCTTTTAGCCTTTTTGCTGTGCATTTGTATAAGTATGTGTCTGCAGAAAACATGCCTTACTGTTTCATACCAGATTTTGACCTTCCACTCACAGAAGTGCTGAATATTTTCATTTTAAATGTCTGTGCCCCCAACTCTTAGCCAATCAGGAAACAATGAAATGCACCCAGAGACCTGTGTTATGAACCCATGGACCTCAGAACTGGAAGAGCCCTCAGACTTTATGGTCTACTCCGGCCCCTTTGATGGAGGGGGAAACTGAGGCTCAGGGTGGGGCAGTGCTGTGCCCTAAGTCCCACAGCAGATCAGCGGCGGAGCTGGGGGTAGACCAGGACCCTGGCTTCCTGTTCTGCACTGAGCATCCTTTCCTTCCACCCTGGGAGAGGGGGGCAGGCTCGCTTCCCCTGTCTCCCCACTCGGGGGTGTGGGGCTTTCTCATGCTCTCCCCACCTCATCCCCCGCAGGTACCTGTCCCACACCGAACTGGCCCCACTGCGTGCACCCCTCATCCCCATGGAGCACTGCACCACCCGCTTTTTTGAGACCTGTGACCTGGACAATGACAAGTACATCGCCCTGGATGAGTGGGCCGGCTGCTTCGGCATCAAGGAGAGTGAGTGTCTGAGCAGAGGGTCTGCCGTCCTCTCCCTCCCTCCTCTCTGCCCATCTCTGCTCTCTGTGCCTGGTTAACTCTGGGCCTCGCTTGCTCACTCAGAGATGGTGTCTTTCTCTTTCCCTTCCTCCGCTTGCTCTGTGCCTAGCACTGCTTTGGGAACTCTCAGGCACCCAGGGAGGCAACAGGAAGTGTAACTTGGCAGCATGTGTAAGTGACAAGGACAGGCCAGGGACCGGGAGACCAAAGCTCTCAGGCATTGACTTCCTGGGTGACCTTGGACGGGTCACCCGGCCCCTGGTCCTGGGGATGGGTGGGATCCTCTGACCCCCTGGGAAGCACGTCTTCACCAACACTGGCCTTCAAGTCTAACTGCTCCTTCTTGCTTTGCAGAGGACATCGACAAGGACCTCGTGATCTAAACCCACACCTCCTCCTGCAGAACCAGATTCTCTCTCTTTAACCTTCCCCCTCCTGTTTTCCCCAATGTTTAAAATGTTTGGATGGTTTGTTGTTCTGCCTGGGGACAAGGTGCTAATATAGATTTCAACGAACACATTAACGGTGCTAAACATGGAAATTTTAACCCAAGTCATGACATCCTTGTTACTCCTCAGCTATCACGGCCTCTTGCTCACCCACTAACAGTCCCATTTTTCTCTTGCCATTTGCAGCTCTGCCCATTGTCTTAGGGGCACATGGGTGGATGCTTCCATCTGCTCAAGTCTGCCTTCAACACATGTTGCATCTTCAGATTTTCTACTTTTCTCTTTGAAACTAATACTCGCAGAGTCAGGCTTTGTGTTAATTTTATTTTAGGGTATTGGCTGCCAGGGGGGTCACCCCTACGTGGCCAGAAGGTGGGCAAAGGGAAGTAACAGACACGTGACGTTGGCAAGGATGTTTCCAGGGCTAGAGGATCAGTGGTGGGGGAGCCCTGCACAACCCACCAGCCAGAACTGCAGATAACTAATCTCATTTGCCTGGGGCTGTGTTATGGAAACATATAAGCTCTCACAAAAACCCGCCTCCTCGCCGTTTCCCCCTCCCCTTTCAGTGGCATTTCTTTTCACAGTAGGCTGTTTGTTCAAACTTTGGGGAGCCTCTGGAATCCACCTCACCTCTGGGGGGTGGACCCCCACATCCTACAGGGCTACTCCCCCACAGATGTCTCTCGGAGTTGCAGGACTGGGAGGCTGCTTCAGCCAGGAAAGCCAAAATCAAGAGTGAGGCGCAGAAAGTGGCACAATAGAAAAAGTGCAGTTGGTGAATTGGTTTTGTTTTTTTCGTTTGTTTGTTTTTTTCTCTTTTTTTCACATTTGGATGGCTGTCATGAGGGAGCTTTCCTTTGGTTTCTAGCATGTTCCTCCCCCCCCCCTTTTCCTTCTGTTAATCAAGAGAAACTTCAAAGTCATTGGGATGGTCGGATCTCACAGGCTGAGAACTCGTTCACCTCCAAGCATTTCATGAAAAAGCTGCTTCTTATTAATCATGCAAACTCTCGCCATGACGCGAGGAGTTTGACAAATCTTTCAAAATAAAAAGTACTTACTGACTTAGAAACGGCCTTCCCGAGTGATTCTGCACGTGTCTCAGTGACCTCATTTCCCTGACCCGTGGACCCGCGGACAGACATGTCCGCACATGACCGCGCAAGTGAGCAGCTTTGCACACTCCTGCTTCTGTACACACACGTGCACACTCACACAGGTTGATTTATACACAGGGATGGTTCCCATAAGCACGGAGTTAACTTGCTTTTAATTTTATGACCTGTGGGCTGCATTTCATGATCAGTGCACCAGGCTAAGCAACTCTCTCCTTTCAGTAACCATTCACTCACTCATTCATTCATTCATTCATTCCATAAATGTTTCTGATGTACCTACTATGGACATGTCCCACTCCAGGTGATGGAGACACAACTGTGGCAAAGCAGGCAAAATGTGTGTTCTTCCGGAACTTAGAGTCTAGCAAGGAATCGATTCAACAAGTGCACAACTAAATACAAATTACAAGATGTAACAGGAGCACTGAAGGAAGAGTGTAAGAAGCCAGGAGTGTGTGTCACAGGAGGACTAGAGTCACACTGTCCCATATGGTAGCCACTACTCACACGTGGCTATTTAGATTTCAACTTAAATTAATTAAAATGAAATATTTAGTCTCTCAGTCACTCTAGAAACTTTTCAAGTGCTAAGAGCAAAACGTGGCTACTGCTGACCGTATTGGACAGGGCAGGTCCAGAACATTCTCATCATCACAGAACGTTCTATTGGACAGGGCTATTCTAGGGCTTCCTTGGGAAAATGAGCTGAGTCACAAAGGGAAAGAAGGAATTGTTTGGAGGGGCAGAGGTGAGACAGGGGGAAGGAGAGAGGGTCAGGGGAAGAGCATTCCAGGGGGAACAGCACCCGCAAAGGTAGCATGATGTGTTTCAGCCAGCGTGGCTGGTTCACCAAAGAAGGGTGGGTCACACTGGAGGAGGCAGAAGAGGTGGGCCATGGCAAGGAGTTTGGATTTTAGATTTTTGTGCAGTGGGAAGTTGTTGGAGGGTTTTAAACCAGAGAAAGAGAAAGAGACAAGATTGGATTTGGTTTAAAAAGAACACTCTGGTTCTGGAAAGATAACAGCATTCTAAGTTCAGAGAGCACTTTTTGAAGCTCAGGCATGCCCATGATGCTGGTGTGATATTTCAGGCTGGGCTTCTGAGACTCCCCTTCAAGACAGAGAAACAGATCCTAGAAGTGGGTGCCGCTGCCCTGGCCACAGAGGTGGGTCATCAGGTGCTGAGCCCAGAGTTGGCTTTTTTCCCCTTCTATTTTAGATTCTTTTCAAATGACTAAAATAATACAAACTCAGAAAAAAATTAAACTGTGTTGGGGTGCTCTGTTTTTACACAATGGGAGGGAGAGACTGGCCAGTTTGGTCTCTGCCATCTGAGGAATGCAAGACTAGCACTAGTCTCACAATCGCTAAGGATCGCGGCAGAAACTGATGGGGTGAATTTCAGTACTGGCTCATTCATTCACTCGATGACGTTTACCAGATGGCCTCAGCGTGCTCGGCTTGTTCTACGTTCTCATGAGTGAAGTGGGCACGGTCCCTGTGTCCTGGAGCTTTCGTGCTGGCTAGGCAGGCAATGCACAAGTAAGACCGTCTGAGGCAGAAACGTGTGCTGTAAAGGAAACAAAGCACAGAGCTCTGATGGAACAAGGCTTGGATGGGTTGTTCCTCCAGGTAGGGAGGGAGATGTGACATTCTGCCTGAGACTGCAGGATGCAGTCTCTGTGCCTTGGCCAGTCTGGGGCAGATCACCCGTGTAACGCACAGCACCTACTATTACAACAGCTCTGCCGTCAGCTTATTCACAGATGGCGTTCAGGTTCAGGGAGGCTGAGTGATAAGGTGGTGAATCATGGGAGAACTGGCACCCAGAGCTTTCTCCTCCATAACTAGATGCCTTGCCATAGGGAGCACCTCAGAGTTTTCAAGGGAAAGGTAGCATGAAAGAGCGGCAAGGAATGTGCATCAGCCCAGAGCCCTGGGAGGATGGGTGGGGCTGCAGGGCCTGCCGGCTGCCCTGACACTGATCAGCTGAGTGGACAGCGGTCCTCAGAATCCAGAATCCTTAAAGGCAGTGTTTTCATACTTTCCTTCTATTTGTGCTTTCCCCTCCCTTTAAGTCAAAACTCTTAAAAAAAAAACAAAAAACTTAACATTTCAAAGAAATGATCTCATTACCGTGGGTGGAAAACCACTATCATTTACCATAAATAGAGATAAACCTTAAAGAGAAATACAGTAAGAAAATAAATACAGTGGGGAAAAATGTTATGCAATTATGAATGTTCTTTGTGCTTGAAAAATGCTCTGCTTTTTGTTAAAAGAAGGCATCTAAGAGACTTTCTCTTTGATAATCAAATGGTCTAAAAGAGAACTGAATTATACCTAATTCAATGTCACTTCATGCCAAATCTGATACTCTCCTAAAATCATCTCTTGCTCCAAAGTGGTGGGTATCCTCCTCTTTTCCTTGAAGGGGGCGTGGGTCCTCTAGGGATCACCGAGGTCCCGGAAACACAAGCCTCCCTCTTTTCCTCCCTCCCACCCTCCAACATCTGCTGCAGAATGAAACTAAGCCTCACTTAGTCCAACGACCAAACACTGAGCTTGTCTCCTCATCTGCAAAATCCTGACAACGGTGGTCCCTGCCGCACAGGTCACTGTACTGGGCATGAGGAAGCCGACGATGACAATGATGCTAACGACTCCCCACGTAACTGGGAGAGGCCTGCTGTCTCCCCACTGCCTAGCCTGGCCCTTTATGCCTGGCCCTCTCTCAGTAGTAAGGTTTCAAGGCCACATCCCCTTCGTGAAGGGGCTCAGACACATCACACTTGTTAGGCTCTGCTGGGCAGCCTGGTGTCTGCACTGGTTTTGGCTTTAGGACTGCAAAGGGTTAAAATACGTTCAGCAGGAAGCAGAAATAAGGGCACCCTAAGGACGTAAAGGGGCCACGGACAGGGAGTCAGAAGTCTTGTTTCCAGGACAGTGGTGTGAGCCTGGACAAGTGCCTTCCCCTCTGGAGTCCCGTCTCCCCTTCTAAATAATGGTGGAGGGGGAGCTGGATGAGATGGTCCCATCTTCAGAGACTCTATGACATCTCCTCTTCTTTCCATCTGAATAAGCTGTCCTAGGGAGGAGTAAGGACCTGGGGCCATCGAGGCCTCCTAACCTGGTTTCCACATGGCCCCCCAGAGCCAGAAGGACCAAGCTGACTGCTCCCTGAGCCACAGGCCTGCACAACGCTGCGGAGAGCCAGGGCACCCTCTGGTGGAGCAGGGGAGAAGGGCTCCCAGGCCGTGGGATGTGTCTGAATCGCATCCAAGCCGTAAGAACCCACAGAAGTCCCCACAAAATAGGGAAACTGAGGTTTGCAGGAGCAGAAGATACTCCCTCAGGTAGGACTGCCAAAACAGAGGGCTTCCAGCTAAATTTGAATTTCAGATATATATAAATGTTGTTTATATATAATGTATATATATGTATGTATGTACGTAGGTATGTATATGTGTGTGTGTATAAATAGATATATGTAAGTATGTCCCATGCAATGTTTAGAACATACTTCTCTTAGAAAATTATTCGGTAGGTATCTGAAATTCAAGATTACCCAGATATACTATCTTTTTGCTAAATCTGGCAACTCTATCTCCAGATCACCCACTGAGTTCAGGGTTGAGATTTGACAGGGGCCCAGACATGAGTCACGGTTTCTTTCCCATCACACTGGACCTATGTCTTTTGCTAGCAGCTCTGCCGAGCACTCAGGGATGTGGGAAATGCTTGTTGACATTATTCTGGGAGACAGTAAGTGGAAGGATATCTGAATCCTGACTCTGATGATCCCAGGAGTGTTTCAAATAGAGCAAGGGAGATGGGTCCACCCCATTCCTCACACCACCTTCCCCCCAAATCCCCACACCAGCAACCATCAAAAACCCATCTTGAGGTTTTGGTCATAGAGTGCCTAACATCCCTGCCCCAATCTGACTTACAAATTTAGGGAGGAGTCCAGATATCTGCATATCTGAAAGTTCCCCAGGTGACTTGGATGAGGAGCAAAGATGGAGACCCCCCTGGGTTAGCTATAAGGACAGGAAACTGCTTGGATGGGGCAGATTTTAATTGGTGTATATGAGTAATTGTCAAACTATGCATAGGAATTGCAGTGCGTGAAGGAGTATGGCTTGTTAAAAATGCACATTCTCAGAACCCGATTGAGTAGATCCAGGCTAGGGTCTTGGATATTTGTATCTGTTTTAATCCTTAAAAACAAAAACAAAACTGAAGCTAATACAGATGAATGGTAAAGTTCTTAAAAGCAGATAGTGATTATATAAATATATTATTCTATTTGCTATAACTTAAACATTTCACTAAAAACACTTTTAAAACTTAGGAACATTTTAGGGGACTGTGGTGCAAGTGGTTTGAAGACCATATCTTGAGGACAGGTCTTGAAAGGTGGAGAAGAGTCAGAGAAGTAGAGAGAAGTATCATGGTCAGGGAGCAAGCAGTCTGAGCAGAGGGGAAAATAAGTCCAGGAGACAAGGTTATGTCTTATTCATGGCTGTTGTCTAGTAAATGACCTCTCCAGCCTTGTCTCCTAGCACACTCCTCTCAGTCACTACACTCAGCTAAAGTGGCTTTCTTTGTGTTCCTGAAACATGCCAAGGTCTGCCCTGCCTCAGGGCCTTTGCACTTGCTGTCCCTCTGTTGGAACTACACTCTTTCCTCAGCTTTTCTTTAGTAGGCATACTAAAACACTTTCATTAGTAATGAAAATATTGTCTCTTCACCACTATCAGGACTCAGTTCAAATGTCACCTCCTCAGGGTGGTCTTTGGGGTCTTACTCTTATTCCCCTTTCTCTCTTTCATATCAATGATCACAATCTGTAACTATGATCTTGTTTATTCTCTTTTGCTTACTGCTGTGCCAAGAACCCCAAGCACATTTCTTGGAACATGTTCAGTACTTAGTCAATATTTGTTAAG